GATCATGGATAACAAATATGAACAAATAACAAATATTGTCCTCATATTATCTGTATACAAACATGAAATAATCATTTGATCATCAATCATTTTACATCATTTGATTTACTGCAACAAAAGTTTTTCATCTTTTGTCAGTGACACCTTTCTTTTAAACGTATTTATGTCTATCGCTGTTTTTTTCCGTCCTACAAAAAAACAGAAACTAACAGAAAACGTACAGAACAGCTTCAGAAACTCTTCAGAGAAAATGCTGTTACCTCTGTACGTGTGTATTTAAAAACATTACACACAGACACACAAAGAACATGAAAGGCTAAATATATTCTAACATCAAATCAAAATTGTACTGTTGATTTGTTTCTAAGGTTTGAAAAGTTTCAAATGTAAATCCAGATAGAAAATACAGACCAACAATAATGAGAAGTTGATGGAAGAATAATTGGAAGAACTCAAAGTTTACTTTTTTTTTAAAACATAAACTAATGATGGAGTTTTTTTTTACACCACGTTTTTTTGTCTCCTGCTCAACTTAAAAAACAAAACTGCATTTCTGATTTAGAATCTATTTGTCTAATTAAAGACACATTCATTTGAAAGAAAATTCATTAAAACCGTTTCACCAACAATTTAACAGATTTTGATATCAGAGGTTTTGGCGTCTTTAGCTGGACCAACATTGAAAAAAGGGAAGAGTTTTTCAGTGAAAGTGTCTCTGTGAGTGCAGATGGGAGTCATGTCTTCAGAGTTGTAGAAGGACACCTCCCCCATGTCATAGTCCAGCTGGACTCTGATCCTCTGGAGACTCTTCTTCACTGTCACAGACTCACCAACACTATTCTTATATTTTCCATCACCATGCCATAAACACCAGATTCCATATTTTGGTGAAGCCAAACATTCTCCCTTCCTGTTAACTGACTCTTTAACCAAACCCACATTCCAGCGTGGATGATCTCCCACCTCCACCTCCCAGCTGTGTGTCCCTGAGCTGAAGCCCTCAGAGCCAAACACAGTGCTGTACTTAGTGTTTCTCTCTGGGTTTTCAGGAAGATCCTGCTCTATGTCTCCACATCTCACGCTGGTCAGATCATCAGACAGATAGAGCCAGCCGTTTGCCG